AACTCTGGACCGCAGGTGTCTATGGTGGGGAACGAACGCGCTATTGTCCTTTCCGGGGAGTAACGCGTTCACCACCACACCATGCGGGTCCTTTGTTTCGCACGTCTCTCAGCTATTTCTATCGATCTTTGTGGTGGTGAACGCGTTACTCCCCGGAAAGGACAATAGCGCGTTCGTTCCCCACCATAGACACCTGCGGTCCAGAGTTTTGCAAATATCTCAGCAACGTTGTGGTTGTATTTCGTTTACTTAGTAACCTGCCATGAAAATTATAGAAGGCAGAAAANTTCTATAATTTTCATGGCAGGTTACTAAGTAAACGAAATACAACCACAACGTTGCTGAGATATTTGCAAAACTCTGGACCGCAGGTGTCTATGGTGGGGAACGAACGCGCTATTGTCCTTTCCGGGGAGTAACGCGTTCACCACCACAAAGATCGATAGAAATAGCTGAGAGACGTGCGAAACAAAGGACCCGCATGGTGTGGTGGTGAACGCGTTACTCCCCGGAAAGGACAATAGCGCGTTCGTTCCCCACCATAGACACCTGCGGTCCAGAGTTTTGCAAATATCTCAGCAACGTTGTGGTTGTATTTCGTTTACTTAGTAACCTGCCATGAAAATTATAGAAGGCAGAAAACAAAACGTTAAACATCAGGAGCTTTATCCTTTACCCTTTTATATCAGTAGTTATTGCAACAGAATATACATTTTTGAATTTCAGTCTATCTCTTAGCATAGTGTGGAATGGAATAGGATAGCATGAAAGAGCAGGACTGGAGCTTCAATAATCACTCAACTGTGACAGTCTAATAAAATAATTCTCATCTTTAGGCAGATAGCGATGCCAAAACTTCTCGCTTCACGCAACACATCCTTCTATTCTTTCCACTTCTGTTCAGCAAACATGAGGTGCTATTCCACTCACGTAAAAACTGACGTTTCGGCGGATTTTGCCTTCCTCAGAGCCTGGAAAGGCCAAGTTGACAGCAACCCATTCGGACAAACACCTTCATAACCAAACAAAGAAAACGTTAAACCAAGATTTCAATCACATTGAACACAGCTCCGCACACTCACCGCTTTCTATGAGTTTTCCACTCAAAATGTCACGTCGAGACCAACCGCACAGAGTTCACACGGAATCGTATTGTGCCCATCTCATCAAACTAACAGGCTTATATACTGCCCTATATCACGCGTGATGATGAGGCATTCTTTCCTGTGGTTCATTTTCGGATTTCTGGAATTAATTCCGAATGCCTCGAGAGTTTTGCGCGCTTGTGTTCTTGATTCTTGCGCGAGGATGGTGACACATACTTCAAAGTCCTCCCCGTTAAAGGATTAATTCCAGAAATCCGAAGATGAACCACAGGGAAGAATGCCTCATTATCACGCGTGATATAGGGCAGTATACAAGGCTGCAATTCCGATGGGAGGAGCACGTTATACTTCCATGTGATTTCCGTGCGGTTGGTCTCTACGTGACATACTTAGTGGAAACCTCATAGAAAGCGGTGAGTGTGCAAAGCTGTGTTCAACGTGATTGAAATCTTGGTTTAGAGTTTCTTTGTTTGGTTATGGAGGCGTCTGGCGGAGTGGATTGCTGTCAACTTGACCTTTCCAGGCTCTGAGGAAGGCGAAATCTGCCGAAACGTCAGCTTAATCGTGAACAAAGAATAATAACACCTCGCATATTACACACTGCTATATACTATACTATATTTAATGCTATACTATACTTTATATATTAGACATAATGATTCTTGGTATTGACGTATTCTTAGCTGGATTTTCGTGTGAAAACATTGCAATCCTTCTAGGGTTGGGATGACGTGATTAGGGACGAAGCCCCTACTGCACAACAACAACAACAATTGCGACTTATACCAACCTCGCATCATCTCAACAAGATCAATTTATAGCAATACATAAATAAATATATCGATTATTTAATACTAACAGATGCTGCATTGTTGCAAAGTGCAAACCTCAAACCAGATTCGAATGCGCGATTTTGCTTTCCTGACTCTCACTTGTTATCCACTGCACCACTAATGCCCTCGCTTTGCCTTTCTTTCAGCAGATTTCCTACTCTAACGGTACCATCTGATCTCCCTCATAGAGGGAATTCGTGCCGGCTAGTCGCGATGCAACGTATTCTGCTCCCAGGCGGCGGATGAGGGGTTGATCGCGATCCAAAAGCAACCCCATGGATCCAGAGGATGGAGTCCCTGTCTCTGCTGCGCTTATTTGGCACATAACTTTCGCAGTTACGAGGACATATTTCTGCATGCATGCGTGAGTGTGTTCTCATTTATGCGAATTATGTTCTATTAGTCATTTTGGCCAAAAGTGTGCATTCAAGTGACAGGGAAGTATATGAGAGGCGGTTAGGAGTCACCTCCGACAAATAAGGCCTTCATTTACTTTAGGAGAGACTAGCGAGCAACCCGCAGCTATACCCAGTCCCCACGTTCAGAGTTCAGCAAGCTACATGTGTGTGTTAAGTGCTAAATTTGCTAAAAAAGAAAACTGGGCCTCATCCCCCTAAGCCTGAGTGGGCCCTGATAAGAGAGCGTTAGGTATGAAGCGTACGTGGAGACTGCTAAAATCATAGGACCATTCTAGCTTGCTTATATCACGAAAGACTAAGGCGACAAATTCGTACCTACAACGCATGCTTCACTTGCATCTGAACCTTTGATAGAGGACTTGATCATGCAGGCAAGAAAAATAAGTTGTGACGTCCCAAGACCGACTTTCAGTTAAACTCGGCATTAATTGATAATTCAATGTTTTCTTCAATAAGCAGACACGAAGTTGTTAATATAGAATTTATTAGAATACAATAGCTGACGTTTCGGCGGTTTCGCCTTCTTCAGAGCCTGGAAAGGTCAAATTGAGATGTGTTAGGTCATTGGATTAGCCTGACACAGACACAGTTATCGCCCATGTATTACCCTGTGCGGCGGCTGTCCATCAACTAACTTAAATACTTACAATAAATAAACGGTAGGTGTTTGAATGAAGCTGTTTCTTATGCGAATGCAAATCGATTTGTCAAGTTTTATCTGCTGGGATTATGAAAGTGTTTGGCTGAGTTGATCACATCTCAATTTGACCTCTCCAGACTCTGAAGAAGGCGAAACCGCCGAAACGTCAGCTATTGTATTCTAATAAATTCTATATTAACAACCTCGTGTCTGCTTATTGAAGAAAACATTGAAAGTTGTGACGTCATCGGACTAGCTAATAGGAGAAGTAATCGCCCATTCAACACCGCCTGTAATACCGGAGAAAAACTCATACGACAAGAATGGAGTCGGTGGTGTCGGTTCTCGATAACACGAGTTTGGCCATAAACATCGTTTCATTCGAACAACTAACAACCCAAATCGGACGTTTGCAGTTGAAGAGATATGCATCAACACCGGCAAGGATGGCCAGCAAGACTGTGTTATTGTTAAAGAAAGGTGATCTATACGACATCGGTAACTATCGGCATACTAAACGAAATTTTATCACGATTTCATAATGATATTAACACCAACGTCAAACCAGGGGTCAGGTAAAGCGATATTCATCTCGCCGAAATTATTCACTGCCATCACCCTCGAAAACGTCATGTGAACGTTGAAATGAAACAACATAGCAGTAAAAATCGATGGTGCGCAGTTACACCATCTTCAGTAGGATGATGACACGGTCCTTATAACGTCAAGGATTAGCAATGCGGAACGAATGCTTGCCAACTTCGACAAAGCTTGTGCAAAGTTTGATCTTCGACTAAATCTCACAAAAATGATATTCATGAAGGACGATTAGTTTCGTATGCCACATTCACACGTGATGGGACGAATTTCTCCCAATACGATTGTTCCAGATATGCCTTTCTCGACCAGGAAACCAACATGAAGAGCGACATAGCTCCAGAGTTGAACGGGAGAAAGAGAGCGGCCTAGGGAGCTTTCGAGAGCATCGAGGACGTAGTGTAAAGAACAGAAAACACCCGACTCCGCGATCCTTCCTGCCTTGAAGTATGTCGTAGGGACCTGCTCGCTACGTAAGCAGGATGAAAGATCACTCAGCGTTATCGAACGCGCAGTCGAAAGGACGATTCTAGGAGTACCACGTATAACGCCAGTGACAGAGACGATCCGAAGTTAACGATCAAAGATCGAAGACGCCGTTTTTTAAGAAAAATTCGAAGATAACGTTGACCGGACGCGTAATCTGTATGTACGATAAACTATGGTAAGAAGCCGTTAGCGACTGGATTGCTCCGGGTGTCAAACATAATGCAGGAAGACCATTGCCCCGATGCTCAGAGTTTTTCACAAAAAAACTAGAAAAATGGTATAATGCTCAACGAGTCCCTGGAGCAACTCACTGGGCTACTCTGGGACATGACAAAGAGAAATGGAAGATTTGATGGCGTCCGTTCCAGTTACTTGACAATTAACGAGGCGACAGTTGACAGGTGACAGCTAACGGTGTCATCAGCAATCGTCAACGGGAATGATTAGGAACGCAAAAACCGGCAATGAAACCAGTTAAAATAAGGTTACAGTCGAAACCTTCGAGGATAGGCTAGTTAAAGTACAAAACACATAATAAATAATTGTTTGAAGCGTTTCCTTATGTGTGCTGAAATGTACCACATATCGGAAGTTTTATTTCACAACGTAATGGAGAGATGGATGTTACATAATACCCGTGTGAAAAAATACTACTCGTACCAGCTTTAATCTATCATTTTTCTGATAAATCATACCGAAAAAAGGCTAAACCAGTACGTTATGGAAAACACGATTATCTATAAGCACAATCAGAGAGGAGCCAGATACAACTCAATCAACAACCATGCCGGAATCTCGTGTGTTGGACGGACCATGCGAAAGAAGCGTGACTAGAGGGCTACAAACTCAGATGTGATAAATTAAGGCTCATAGAAGTAAGACTTTGGAAACGACAATGACAATTATTCGCATAGTCCACAACATACTAACGATATAAAGTAGAAAGTGAATTATCACAGTGACAATTAACTACGCGTGATAAGATAATGACCACAGGAGCATCCATAAGGATTATAGGATCTGTTACGAATTAAAGCAAATTGAACAAATATGTGAATCTCGCAAAGAATCCCGACCTATCTGGATCTAATTTTCCCTCTCCGTTTTTTTCAACACCTAGTTGAACCGTCTCGATATTTTTTCTCGAACGAAACTAAACATCGTTCAAAACCTTGTAGATTTCTGATAGGAAGCGTTCATAGGAAAGTATATTTCTGTGGTTATACAACTTGGCAAATTTTTTTGATACCTTTCTGATGAGAAAAATATTTCCGACGCTATAGATGGACATCGTCGAGTCGACGATAAACCATCAGAAAGGCGACGTGATGGTGTGAACCGACACTGTTCACTAAGAATTGTCGTCACGGTTTCGTCATCACGATAGACGTCGACTACACTGCCTTCAGCATGACGACGTGCCGAGAATATGGTATCCAAATGATAGATGTTCTTCGATTCCAGAAACCATAGGACGGCACCCACTAACAGACACAGTATGGCTGGAAGAAAAAGCATTGACCTAGACGATTTTTAGAGAGACAATAAGCTGAAAGAAATGGCGACACGTAGTAGACAAACTCGAGTTTTGAAACTTCTGAGCCCGCTTTTTGGAAGAAAAACGTAAAAAAGTAATGAACAGAATAAGTAATGTTTGCTGAACAGAAGTAGAAAGAATTGTTAAAAAGGTAATGATAAAATTTTTAGAGCTGTCACCTACCGACTATACAGGTGGCATGGAAACAAATTGAAAGGCGGAATCTTAGCAGTGTATGGCCGTGGTGTGTCGGGAAACGAATGTCCATGTGGCGAGGAATATTCGTTAAGAAGATCAGATCACCTTAAGCACTACTAGTTGACATGGGATGATTTGTTCTCTTCGAATTAATAGATATTTGTAACGTTAGTCAAAAAAATAGGAATATTGGAATATGTTGGCAGCGTTAGGGAGAAAACCAGCTGAGAGAGACGCTGAGCAAGGGCCTCCGTGGCGCAGTGTGTAATGCACGATTATTCGTACAGGAAAACCGTGGTTCGATCTGGCCTGGAGTACAAGTTTTGCGAATATTTCAGCAAAGTTGTGGTTGCAATATTGGCATATTTTATAAGACATACACACTTGACACTTGACACTTGACACTTGAACGGCCCGTCCTCACTAGTTGTGCGGGCCCCAGCACAATCACCATTTGTCGGAGATTTGCTGGTTAATCCATTGTGGTTCCCTAGAATCCCGAGGTTAGTCTGGCCAAAGTCTGTCCCAGGTCTTCACCACCACGGGCAGTCGCAGCCGTTGTGGATCAGAGGGAGATTTGCCACCAACCGTCTTTCAGATCAGGACGGTGGTGGATCATGGTACTGGTTTACTCTTAGCTAGGCTTCCTGATGGAAACGGTAGACTCCTACCCAGCTTGGGAGACCCTGCTGTACATCACAGTCCGACACCCAGGAACACCTCCGAGCCACGATGATGCGTTAAACCGTTGGGAGGTTATACGACATAGCAGTAATCAAACCGCGTCTATTTTTTAAATGGTACATTACAAAGTTAGGGGTATGGTGGGTGCATTGATTAGAAATGAATTGGAATATACGCGTACTCGCAGGTCAAAGCACTACCTGGGTCAAGGAAACCCTCCATTTCTTCAACCTTGGTGAACCGGTAGCAAAGGAAAGGTTGGAGAAAGCTCCTCTTGCTCTGCAAAAGTCGGTGAATTTCTATAGTGAACGTCTGAGAACAACCTAACGGACTTATTCCAGGACCATAGGAGGAAAGAGCTCAACCAGCCATACAACCAAATTCATGATAAAGAGTGCCAAGCGAACCTTATTTACTTGGATGGCCAGTTTTCACTGATTGTGGGTGTCGCAGCATAATTTGCATTCGTTTCCTTTTCGCTCAGTTGTCGTCAATGGTAGTGGTTTGCTTCGAACACTAAGTTTCACGGGGTACATTTTGTAATCCTGAAACCGTTCAGATCTGCGAGTGCAAGTGGTTGGCGACGAACACGTCCGTCTCGTCTGGGTGGTCTTCCAAGAGAACGCTTGCATTCTCATAGAGTCCCCTCATTATTCCCTTCGACCATCTGTCACCTGGTTCTTCTTATATGAGCGGCTCATCTGTTGATGTATATTATTCTGTATCCCGAAGATGGGATAGGTTCCGAAGATCTGAGTTTCACATGCCGGCTAAACGTCGGGACTGCCAGTGAATTTTCAGAAAAACATCGTTCTAGCGCTTTGTGGGTGGCGCGCAGCATTCTTGATGTGGTGCTTCCATCATGACACGTCTCTGCTGCATAACGAAGTGCTGGAAAGCCTGTTGAATCGTAAATGGGACCGTGGATTTTCAAGTTCTTTAGTTGTTCGGGGGCTCCTTTGAGTTACACGAGTGCGCCCATGCTCTCTCTTTCTTCCGTCTAATTCCTCCTTCTTGTCGTTCTCTGTGTTCCTTGGACGTTTAACGTGCACGTACGAGGTGATTTTGTAGTTAGATGATTATCCAGTCCGATTTGTTTACCATCACTCCATGCATTCTTCATGAACTGGGTCTTCGTCCTATTTATGCACAGTCCAGTAAATTTCCTGCTTTGTTGAGTTCGTTCATTGATCATCGTCTCTGCTTCGATGCTACTTCTTTAGAAGACAACGATATAATCGGCGAAAAGAAGGTTTGATAGGAATATTCCATCAATACGTGTGCCTTTGTCCCAATCGAGAAGCTTCACTGTGGGTTACAGTGCAGTAGCACGCAGCTTTGGTAGTATTGCACGGCCTTGTCGAACCCCTTTTCCTATAGGTAAGACGAAGATGGAAAAGCTGTATTTTCGCAGTGCAGTTCCGATGACAGTCAGAGAGAGAGTTCGTGTGTAGGAGTGGTCTACTCATTGATCCAAGGATTCGATAGGATTGCATTCGTTTTGACACTGTCAAATGTTTTCTCCTGGTCTATAAAGGTTAGGACAAGAATTAAATGGCACTCCCGACAAATTCCTATGACCCGTGATACGGTTTAGATTTGGTCAAGTTCACCAAGCAGCTTCCTTGTCGGAATACTGACGGCTCAGCTGGCTGTGATTCAGCCAAGGTCTTCGAAATGCGCAAAAGAATAGTCTTCGTGAGTAGTTGGCAGCATACACTCATAGAACTCAAGCATATTGGAAGGTAGTTACGAAGATCCTTTCAGTCACAGTTCTTAAACATGATGATCGTACGTAAGGCCATCCACTACCCTGGAATTTCCTCCTTTTGAAAGTAAGACGTCATGTGCGTTGCCAGAATTACATGTAATTTGCGGCCAATAGCTCTAAGAAAATCGTATGTAATGTTGTCGGATCTTACTCTTTCACATTTTCTATCACGACTCGAAATTCAAAGGGAAGAATCCTCGGCTGTTTTTTTTACTGCCAGAGATTCAGGGGTTCGAGAAGAAGATTGCGGACAGAAAAAGATTAGTATAGAACCCTTTCGTTATCAATTCTGGATCATGGCGGGTTACTCTGATAGTCCCATCAACGTTCATCAAGACGGATTGAGAAACATTATAAAGGATAAAGAGGATAAAACTCTCGGTATTGATCAATCCCTGAGGGATGCGCCATGCATTCTACTTTATCAAGCATCGTGTGGAGGTGAGTGAATGCATATCTGATCTTTACAATGACTCGCGATTGCCTACCAATCTATCGAGCCAGTACTGCTAGCCTCCCAGACAAGTTCGGTATCAATTTGGCGACCCCGGAGGGATGGAAGGTTTGGTGAGCCATGGACGCTGGGATCGATTCCACTTGTGTGTTGCAGGGCGCCTCCGACCGGTGCGACACACGCCCTTGAGGAATATTATAGGCGCAAAGATCCCGTGTGCATTTCTTCAGACTGGATCGTTTTTGAGCTAATTCCAATAACTTCTTCTGTCTACACCAATGTAAATTGTACTGCAAAGATCTTCTCCCATTGAATTTATTGTCACCCGTGTTAAGTCTGTTGCAATAGGATCTAACTTCAGTGTGTTTCACAATTCGAGCAACTCCTCAGTGATAATGGAGACTCGATCTGAACTTCTTGTTTAAGAAAAACAGGTGAGTTCTGCAAAGGTTTGAATTCCTTCGACAAGCAACTTGTAGTCCTCAGTCCTTCATTTAACTGCCACTCAAATGCTACTGATAAGAGGATTTAATTGAGAATATCCTCGTCATATAGGTTTTGCTCTGTTCTTCTTCGATGATGACAAGAGTTCGTTTCCAACCGTCATAGACTCAACCGAATCTTTGCAAAAAAAGACGCCAGTAATCCAGCTAGCAATGAAATGTCAAAGAGGCACTACTTTCTGTTCGTGAGAATATGATCGACCTGCGCCTGGGTCGTGCCGTTAATAGACTCCAGTGCACATCGGCGATTTTCGCTCCTATCTAAAAATGAATTCCAATGGAAGACGCGTGCAGCGGAAGGGACTCCTAAAAAACTATTTTCATTCCCGTTTCATTTCCTTTATCCGATTTTCAGTATCCAGTATTCATTTTCATTAACCGTTCCTAATCTGTTGTTGGTCTGTAACAACGAATTTGTGGAAAAACTTTTCGTTGTGGATTACTTGCCCCAAATAATTACAGAACGCATGCAGTTTGCTCTCATCAGCTATACAAGTTGATCAGTAACAATTGATGACACCGACTTTACCTTAGCGCGCACGTTGGAGACGAAGAATGGTAAAGCGCGTTGATAAGATTTTTCGTATCCGGTGACAAAATGGGTAATGTATGGTGCAAATTAAAGCCAACGCCTCCGAAGTTTCGTAACGGAAATTTTCCTCCACGAATGACTTGGTTTCGTCATCTAATTGCCGTATTTCGGTCCTCCTTCTCTTCGTCTCTTGTAGAGCTGTCACATGATATTTGATGCGATCAGCAGCCTCACGAGGAGCGTGGGGGTTGGCGTCTTATGAGACTGTTCTGGTGTTATGGGTGCAAAGCAAGAAGCAACCTCAGTGGGGTTTCGTGGGTGCGCTCGTTTTGTCCATTTCGAATGACATTCTGTTCAAACCGAGATTAGATTTGATCGCCTCTCACCAGTTGTCTCACTACCCGACGTCGTAAACGGGACTGCCTAATGTCCCAGGTGCCGAAGCTGGAATTATTATGGTTCGGCCATTGTGACTATATGGAATCCGGAGGTCAGCCTAACTGAAACCTTCCTCAGGCCTTCACCACCACATACAGTAACTGTCCTTGTGGATCATAGGGAAATTTGTCAACATGCAACTAGTTTGATACCAGGACGGTCATGAATATTGGAATCGGCTTACTATTAAATGGGTTTCCAGATGAAAACGTCTGATTCTTTCGCAGCATGAGAATCGCTTGCTGAATTGGTGCGAAAAAATGTTTGACGTTCAAAAGCCCTTTTTATTTTACTTTCATTTATACATGACTCGTCATCACATCTACTGTGCTGATCCAAGCACTACTTGAATTCGATTCCTTTTCCTAGCATTCACCGCCCACAATGGTCTTCGAGCCCTTCGCACATTGTTTCAGCTGCTGCTTGAGGATTTTTTCTTAACTATGAATATCGTTGAATGCTGGTCGAGTCGATTCTCCTGGATATCTTGGAGATATTCGGATTAAGGGGATTCCACGTGGATGGGGAAAGCGTTGTAGAGAGGAGTCGAACTGTAGTCTTTGGCTCCTGATCGACTAGATCACTAACCACTGAGCTACCCTTCCCCTCGGAAATCTTATGTTATTCGAAAATAAGTGAGTTCATCGACAATAAAAGCGCTAAACTCTTTGCTTCCATGTCGATTTTTTATCGGCCGCTGACAATGATTTCCATTCGCTGCCATGAAATATTTCCAAAACTTAGAAACAAAATCAGACTGTTGAGAACTCGAAACTAAGAAGAGATTGTCCTTCGAGAGTTCAACAATGAACCTCACATGAAAGCAACCGAGAATCTCAAGTCAACAGTTTTCACTGTTTATTTGGATGAACGAAACCTTGCAAGACAGAAATTCGATAATTGGACAAGTGATTCTTAAGTATGACAAATGTCCGAATATGTATGTGCTATGTTTGGAGATCGAATAAAAACTAATTGGTTCGAATAATCGACATACATTTATTGTCCGATACTGTAGAAGTTATTAAATTTAGGCTTACCGATTCCAATAAATGCTCCCGTATAGAAAATACAACGAGAGAAGCAATGCGGAAGAAATGCTAAACAGACAAACGAGATGATCCAGGTGCAGAACGAAAACCTGAGAATAGAACGATCAGCTTACCTGATTACTCACAATAAAAGAAACCAACCTTAGTAGTAACAGCTCAGAGGTGCTGTCAACTTTTCTCGTTAAATTATAAGAATTGAAAATAAACAAATAAGTGGGGTCACCAAGTCAAGAACTATATTTTGGGCAAAATTTTTAAAAATATATTACAACTTTGTTTTTTTGCGGCGAACTGTGAACCAATTGCACTCAAGTGTGGTGTGGCACAACTATCTCTTGGATAAGAAGACCTTGATGTCAATTTTAATAAAGAGATAGGGATCCTTACATTCACTTCTTGAGGTCGCATCAGAACCGAAAATAACGTTGGTACTACGTGATAATAAGGGTAATAATAATAATAATAGTAATAATGACGATAATAATAATAGTAGCAGCAAAAACAATTGATAAAAAGCAAAAAGCATCGGCGTTGATCAACCCTTGGCCGCTGGACTATGCATTTGACTCCGTTGGTAGCATCGCAGAGGTGACTGAATGCATGTCTGCCATATACACTATGGCTTGAGGTGAGTGCTTTCAGAATTCTGTCTCGTACCGAATTCGCGACACCCAACGGATGGAAGGCAAGGGGAATATGGGGTATGAGATCGAACTAAGATCTCTATGGATATTAGAGGATGCTACCTAACTATTCCACTACGGGCATCCCAAGTCATAGGTGATATAACAACAATATCGGGAGTTTCTACAGAGATTTCATAATTTGCTCTCATAGCACTACCTCTGAATGATTCAAACCGGTAAACATTTAAGCACTTCGTTAATTACCACTTTAATAAAATCTCTAATAAGAAGAACAGAGTGAAAGAAGGAACATAAAAAGTATACTATTCCATACCATAGCATGCTGGCGGTGTAGTACCCAGCAACCCGATAGTGTCGACCCCATCCGAAACCATCGACGGAAAGATATTCGATTACCTAAAGCAATTTTGCGACAAAAAACCTATTTGTTTTCCACGTATTGTACTAGGGAAATGAAACTCAATAAGCATCTAATGAAATGTAAAAAGTGATTGCGTAAAAAGTGGGAAATTCAACGCCAAACAAGAAGTCGTTCGGTAGAAGAGAGAGTTTAGCATTTGGAATAAACATAAAACCGGAAAACGGAAAATCAAAACAAGGGACAGATTGATTCCATTTTTAGAAAAGTGCTACCAATGCTTTGGATGAAGAGTTTAAACAAAGGGATAAAAAAATTAAGAAGAGACGGTTTCTTACATGAAGGAATCAGCTAATGAGTTTTTTCTTGATAATATAGTAAAAAGGTAAAGCTCGCGGCGTTGATGAATTCCTGAGGGATGCGCCATGCACTCGACTTTATTATCGTTGGAGGTGATTGAATGCATATCTGGCATTTATAGGGAGTCGCGGTGGTCTACCGATGTATCGAGCTAGTGCTGCTTTCCTCCCAGACAAGTCTGGTACCAATTTGACGACCCCGGAGGGACGGAAGGCTTGGTGGACCATGGGCGCGGGGATCGAATCCACGTATTCGTTGCATGGCGCCTCCCACCATTGCGCCACACGCGCTGTTTTTGTAATACAGTAATGAGCATCTTATTACAAGCTTATAAAGATTCAGAACTACAATAACATGAAAGTTTTCGTCTTTGGAGATCGTATAAATGGAGGATACGGTGAGAGACGAAGAGGTTACGAGCCCAACAGCATAACACCACGAAAAAGGAATCAAATACTAACCTTAATGATCGGAAACGGTAATCCTTTGATTAACGCGTTCGATAGCTCTTTTTCCATTTTGTTAACTAGATGAAGCATTTTAGCGGTGGTAAAAACTCCTTCATATACAGTTTAAAATTCGTAATGAGTAAACATACCTTCTGAAAAACCAAATCTTTCGTTGTACAGCAGACCCTCACCGACGACAAAATTTTCACTTTCTTGTGTGGCGTTCGCTGTAATCACACACTAATAGATTTAAAAACTATTCCAATGACGTGAAATTACAATGGTTAAATATTTTCATGTCTATGTGAAAACTAATAGGAACGACTCTCTCCGGTAGAAACTCCGCGCACATTAGGAAAATGTTATTGTAAAGGTTCACTTTTCCGAGAGATTTCACAGGTAGAGATGCAGAAACTGATAAAGTGGCGACCCTATTCATTGACGCTACAAAAGTACAGCCTCTAAGGAAATAACAGTGCTGAAAAAAGGCGCGTACACAGACGTACATACGCCATATACACAAACACACACACGCACGCACGCACGCAAACGGTGACATATACATACACAGGCCTACATTATCGAACGATCTTCTACAGCAAACCGATTGAATAATAGTAAAGGAGTGCTAAAACGTACTGCTTAGCGAAATATTTAGATACTGTAGTCCAACTCGTACTAAGATATATGCATCGATCTTAGCATTGGAAAATGCTTTATACGCGGTGGATATTGGCGTTTCAGCTCGATGCCAGCAGGGATGATGCAGTGACACTGAAAAGTCTTCACAAGTAATTCTACTAAAAATGAAACACATGTACATTGAAAGGGACATAAGAATAAGCTGTAGGATTGAATCAGATGTAGTATTTAGTACTCTTGTGGTCCCGTGACTGCTTTTTTTCTCATGCACAAAGATTTCTGCTTTGCCATCTCTCTTAAACGAATGTTAGGTATGTGTATTGACGTGTAGTCACAACTAATCAATAGGCACATTTTCTATGTTGCGCTGAACTTGCAGTAATTTCCAAGACCCACTTTCTGTAGCAAAGCAGAATTTTTCTTGCTCATCAAGATAAAAAAGTGAAGTATTTTATGAACACTGGTCCTACTGTAGTATGCAGCAATTCTATTCCCTAAATTAACCACAAAAAAATAAGAAGCCACTGAAGGTACGAATAAAGAAAGATTGATCAATGGAGTTCTCCTATCGGATTTTAGACGATTGAAGTCCTAAGAAACAGAAATTACCGCTGTACAAAACGGAGAATTTACTGATTGCTTGATCACCAAAGAAGGACAAAGATGCGCTCACCTAATAATGTCGCTCCAACGAACATATTGAAGAAAAACGAGAACGTAGATGAAAGTCGGTGCTTTCGAACACCGGGCAGAATAATGAGGAATGTTAATGATGGAATGATGAAAATGGAACACAAGCCGACAATATGAGTGTCTAAAAATATCAAGGATTTGTACCTCAAAGAAAACTATTTTCATTCCAAGCATTTCTTAAACATACAGAATAGATAAATTGGAAGAATATTAGGTAGGAGGTGTTTTATAAATGAAATTGACCACATAACTCTTGACTGACTCCAGTTCACCTAGAATTGTTAGGTGGTTCCTAACACGAATGTCGTTTGACCGGTATAACACCGGTTGGATGAGATTTCTTCTACTTGGGTCCCAAGAGAGTCGTTCGCCTGTCTAACTAGAATATGTCTTTGCTGCAGGTCCACGTGGATCAGAGGTAGAGGTAGAAGTGTGGCTGACTCTATTCTAGACTGAGACTTCTAATGGCATAGATTTACTCCTAAGCTAAGCTTCTTGAACGAACTGTCGAACTCGTTCTCAGTTTGCGTAATCTGCCATTTGATGAATTTCGGCTGCACATCGCCGCTTGGCACCAGGAGACAGCCTTTTCCCACTATGAAGTGGAAGAGACTCCATGATAATCATTTTTATAATTTCTTTCCCAGTAAACGAAATGCATAACCGATGAAGAAACGCACTGCCACTCGAGCCCACATCAAGTGCTGATACACCATTCCCAGTTTGTTAAAAAAATTTCACTTGGAGACCTTCCTGAGACGATTTGCGTGTCTCAAAATTGTATTTATATGCATATATAGTCCACTTTGATTCAGCCTGCTACATTGTCTCCAATCGGCCCGCTCACTAATCGTAGTAGTCGTTGTTGTCCTAAAAGAATCCCAGCCAAAAAACTAGCAAACCTTCTTCCGATCCACAAGGGCAGAAGGCAACATCTGTGTGTATGTGTTTGTTTGTTAAACATCAGGAAATGACCTAACACGGATACTCTGCAGTGGAATAATCTAGAACACAGAAGCATATCAACTTAGGTCATAGCCCAACACATTATAATTGCTACTCCATGACGGGTGAAAACTAACGGGACAAATGGAAGGAGTGCTGGGGCCCGTAAAAAGTGTAAGAAGAAGCCATCTAGGCATCAGGACATTGCTATTCATACGGAATTCTTCATGCCGTATGCAGAAATTTGATTGAAAAAAAGAACAGGTTACCAAGCATCACTGGCGTTCGATTCTCTCCGTAAAACGTCGGAGCGCCATGTTCTCGAAAAAACGTGAACCACCCAATCATATCGCATATGCTTTAAAAAACAAAACTGTTGAAAGGGTAACTTTTCATGGAAAACGCGACGCGACACCAAAATAACGACGAAGTCTAATACACGTGAAAAAAGAATGAACTACACAGTGTGACGGATTGTGGCGAAAATACGGAACCGTATTAGGAATATCAAGGAAAAAGAAACAGAAATCATTTAGCGAGTGATACTGAAAACCAGCCGAATTCTAGGTCTTGAAAGTTGGTCGCTGTAGGACCCTAGAGGTGTAAAACGGCAGTTGGTTCAGTGTTCACAAAAGGCAGTGATGATCACATGACCACATTGCCCCAACGCTTTCAAGACGACGTGTCTTCAATAGGTCGCATACGTGTAAGCACTAAGACCAACGTGATATTAGCAGAGGTCATGTTCACATCGGCGACTTATTTCTGTGCACAGAACCTTTCTTCTACTTTTTTGCACCATCCTCCTTCTAACTCTCTTACGCAGATCCAGCAGTTCAGACAATCGATTCGTTTCCTCGCATCCATCATCCACTGAGGTATTCCAACTTTTGCGTTTGAGTTTTACTGCTGCTTGGGGATATTTCTTTCATTACTAATGCCGTTGATTGCTTAGTCGACTTATCCTAGAGTCTTGAGGTAATCAGACAAGAGCGTTTGCGCAAGTATTGGAAAGAGTGGACGTTTCCCAGAGAAAGCTGCCAGCAGTTTCCTGACCCAGGAAGGATGAAAGGCTTGGTGAGCTCGGCGCGTGGTCGCACCGCTTCCATGCTTCTGATGACTGGTATCACCCCCACAACGCTATCTGCCCCCTACTTGTCCTCATAATTCTTGCAACATCTTTTCTCAGTCAGCAGCTAATTGAACACAGATGTAACTGCTAAACCACAGCTAAAAAAAAAACAATACTGGTATATAAAACAACGTAAAGCAGTAGGGAAGAAAATATCAATGGCTAAAACAGCAAACTATGAAATAACTCAAATAGTCTCATAATAATGGCTGAAAATGAAATGTGGCCCAATAGATGGGAAGAGAGCTTTACTGGCAGAAAATATGGCAAGAATATTCGAATAAGAATAGGAATACTGTTGGTTAAGTAAAAAGAAAATGATGGACAAATCACTAGCTTTGCTCCTCACTAAATTGCTACAAAAAGGTAACAAACTCCTTTAAAGGACAACAGCGCGTGTTCGTTCTCCATTGCATACACCTGTAGTCCGGAGTTTTGCAAATATCTCAGCATTTCGTATAAAACTCCTTTAAATTAACATTTTTAATTTCTAGAAACCTCTTGGTAATAGTATATGGAAAAATTCCTTCGAAAAAGTTCGAATAGTCCTTAAAACTTCTCGAATAGTTTCGAATATTATCTCACTTCATTTAGATACTTGGATGGCCCGCACTCATTAATTGCACAGGGTCCAGCATATCATCCATTTTTTCGGAGATTTCCTGGATTAGTCAGCGATCCCTTGCAATCTCGAGGTCACATAGGCTAAAGTCTGCCTCAGGTCGTCACCATCACAGACAGCCCTTGTGGATCAGAGGGGGATTTGCCACCAACCAACTAATTTGATTCCAGGACCGTGGTGAATCCTGGTATTGGTTTATTCTTAGCTAGGCTTCCTGGTGGAAACGCACGACTCCTTCCCAGCTTCGAAAACCCTGCCAGGGAGACGATTCCCCCCGCTGTACATCGCAGCCGGACGCTCAGGAACACCTCCCAGCCACGATGAGGCGGTAAACCGTTGGGAGGCACTTCATTTAGAAGTATTCAAAAAGTAGCTACAGCTTCTGGCAAATTTTTAAACGTGATGGACTCCTTTTTTTGACATACAAATAAAAGCATGATTTTCATAAGGCGCCAGAATCCAGTTCAATAAAAACCATTAAGAAGACGGCAGATGAGAATCCGACCTGAATAATTCTTCAGGTCACAGCCATGGAGAATCCATAACAAACTCTAATCTCACTGAGAAAATTCTGATTGCTAATTTCAGAAGCAGAACGGTAGCCTAAATGGCTTCGGCTATCGGTAAATCATTTAAGCAAAAAGCAGTCAAACAGCTTTTGTTTGGCATTTGTTACAGTTAGCTTCAGGTTAGTCTTATTAGGGTAGGAAATTATCAAAACGATCGCATAAAATTGAAAGCGACATGACCTTCAATGTTGTAGAGCATTAGCGAAGAAATTAGCGGTGAAAACTCTGTAAGAATTCTGTGGTCAGAGATCCTCAGTAGACGGCAATCAAGGCAGGAAACCTGACCACAATCGGATAAGCGAATGGCCATGTCAAGAAATCAGTCATACCCACACAGGTCAAATAGCTCTTGTTTGACTTTTGCCAAAACCGAGTAGTTTACGATCTCAGTCTTGTTAGGGCTAACGTTATTTTGATGGTGGCATAAAAGTGTAAAGGACGTGACTTTCCGTGATGTCGAAAGACGGTATGAAATCTCAGTGACAGTCATTTGGCAAGAATCAAGGTAGTTGACTTAAGCACAACCGGTTCGGAGCGGTGTTTCCAATACACATTGTTTGACGGCTTCATCTTCTTGTAGTTGTAGTCATAAAAGAAAAATAACGGTATGGGTGAGAGGATAATAGGAATAAAGAAGGAAGCACATCCTGAAGTGTTCACACACCTTGTTATTTATAACACTTGGATTTTTATTCTCACAGGAATAGAAAAAACACTAAAAAATTAAAAGGGCAGGTCCTCAGAGTGTTTTTCACATGAAACTATGCTTTCAATTATCATTGAAAACCTAAGCTAGGAAGGTAGCCATGGAAAACGGGATAGTTCTTCGATTACGGAAGCCACATCCTACATGTACAAAATGCTTTCAACGGATGGGAAACAACATAGAGCATTGAAGCACTCGGCTTTGATCAATTCATGAGGGATGAGCTGTGCATTCGACTTCCTTAGGCACTGTAGAGGTGATTGAATCAAATACGGTCTATACAATGACTTAAGATGGTCTACCGATGAATACGACCAGCGCTGCTATCTTCCCAGACAAGCATGCTACCGTTTCCAACCACAGAGTGTTGGAGCGCATGGTTTGACCGGGCGTAGGATCGAACCGATGACCCCACGTAGGCCACCTCTAACCACTGCGCTACAAGCGGCCTGTGACAAAAAACCTTAATGTACTCCCGCTTGCCTTATTCATGATGACGAGCCATAAAAGTATTAAAGCATCCAAGTATCATTTTCTATATCAATGTTTCTACTCCTTCTCTGCAGTTATATGTGCAAGAAGCTCACCTCTAATTAGGTCCAAGTTCAAAAGTTGTTCAATCCTGTTATTTTTTTCAGTTATGGTTTACTTGGCAATGAATGAAGAAAAAACTAGAAGTCGAAAAAAAAACTGAGAAGAAAAACGATTCCAAGGAGGCTGAAACGTTTGAAAGAAAACAATTGAACAGAAACCTAACTGAATACTTGGATGGTTCTTCAAAAATCGTGCACACCCTGCACGACTTTCACTTTACTGCTCCGGCAAGTTGTTCTTTCTTGGAAGTATCGACGCAACACAATGAAGATCCTATGAACCTCAGTACTGCCAGCCAACTACCCTAATGAATCAGGAGACGGTCGTCGTTTCAGCACCGGCTGCCTTCCAGAAAGATAGTCATTCCTGGGGTTGGCTTAATCCTGGTTTGGCTTCCGAATTGAAATGCGTTATTCATTATCGTACAGTAAATGTACTAAGACTGCAAAGTAAAACAATACAATTTAAGATGGAGAATGTCCATGAACAACTAGACATTGCAGTGAAGGTGGCCTTCCAATATTTAAACAGTCGCACTAAATAGCGAATCAGAAATATTGTTAGAATGTGTTCCCAAGGAAACATGTAGCGCAGTTCTTACGTGCCCTACAATACAGATGTATTCGTTGCTTCAATACCACGCACGGGTAAACCAAGATCAGATCCTCCTATAATTGGAAGATTGGTACCAGACTTGTCTAGGAGAATAAGAAACAGTGCGATAGAATAGCCGGCCTCCGTAAGTCATTGTAAAACTCAAATATGCATTCAGTCACCTCGACGGTATCTAATAGGGTCAATGACTCATGGCGCATTCCTAAGGATTGAATGATCAACGCCAAACGTTCCATCCTTTAGCATTTATGTTATTTTAATCATCAATTCTTCAAAGGGCTCCTGTCTTCGTTGTGGTCAAAAGTTAGTTTCGGTGGATAACTGGGACGAGAATTCATACTTTACCGAAGTCTACAGAAACATATTTCTAGCCTATGTCTCATCAACGAGTAAATCTATACTATAAGAAAACTCGGCGTGCTAGTGGTTGCAATAGCCTGCTACCATAAGCCACTCAATCACTTTAAAAAGACTATTATGCTAGGAATGGCATGCTCTTCGTATTCCTTGAGCAAGGGAAGAATACTGGGAAATTTTTCACAGAAATATGACGGGGTTAGGTGAGTTTCCTAGCACCCGTTTCAGTAACTCGATGATTGTAATAGGTGGTGTTACAGGAGCTAAATGAAGGTTATCGCTGAAATAAAATTGACTGTTAGTGAAGGAAAATCATATAACACACCTAGGTATTCATTACTGATGTTGTGTTGTAGAAAGGTGGTATAGGGCATCTCTAACACTAACGTGTCAACGTAGACACGTAGACGTGTCTTTTCTCCTTTTTTCCCTTTGAGACTTTCAAGGGAAAATAAGAAAACCCACATGAAATGAGACATGAAGGGAACTTGTTCTGCGAGCGTTATTTCGGATCTGGACGATAACAGCGGTTTTTTTCTTCAGATCTTCGATTCCCCACATTTCTTCTGTCCCTCGTTGACAGAAAACGTCATTTCCCATTTGAACAACTAACTGTGTGGTGCTCAAGGTCATCAATTCATTTCGGGTTAAGTTCCGCCGCGGAATTTGAATCGAATAGCTGAATTTTCGCAGGGGCATTGACGAATGAAATAAAGGTCACTGACTTGGAACAAAGGATGATGACAAAGCACT